ACACAGAGGCATTACATTTGATTTCTGAACAGCCAGAGCGCACCATGGAAACAACCAATACGTAGCTCAGAACATTTGATGATGCAACTTCTCAAGACAACCCTCAAAATACTACTGCATGCAATCTCTAATAGATAAATTTAATGCTAGCAAAGCAACCACCAGACCACCAGGTAGGGCTTCTGTTCCATCTACTCCCTGTCCAAAGGCAAACACCATTACCATCTTGAGCCACTCAACAGACCATAATTAAATTGATTCTCAGTTGGGCAAGGAGGGATAAGCCTTCACCCCTCACATCCACAGCTGGTATGATGGATCAACTAAAACCACAGATGCAGAAGTATCCTGTTGATGTGGGGCTTTATGGGAGAGAAGCAAATCAGCTTGCCAGTGATGGTGCACTCAGGTGCCAGTCTGGCAAGCTGAGCCAGAGCTCCAGGACAATCTGGCATTGCAATTACATCAGACGAGTAGAGCGATACACCCTGATGATCCATGAGTCTGTATTATAGTGGAAGTGTCCTGTAAAGGTACTGACCCACATCAGACAGGGAACATAGGTAAGTCTATGTGTATCATCAGTGCATCAGTACTCTCTATAAAATCCTGAGAGATTTTCACATTTTACAGCCCTGCCAATCAGTCACTGCTTTGCGATTATCCATGACCAAGAGGCCAATGTCAAACTATCCATGACCAAGAGTGCAATGCCAAACCTATTGCCAGTGTATCCTTAGTATGCTGTCCAGTTTCCAGGCAGCAAAAGCAACAGACACTGAAATTAAAGTCTGCCTTTCTTATCTGAGTGTCCTACGATTTAAGAAAGATCTTTGGACAGCTGCAAAAGGGTGGCTTTCTGCTTGTGGTTTCCCTGAGCCCACAGCTTGTTATCCCATATTACTATCACAGTACTGCCACAACACTCTTGGTTTGTGGGTCTAGTCCAGAAGGAGCCGTCTACGAAAACAGGTAACTAGGCCAATCCACAATATTCCCCCACATGCTGCCCTTCTGTTGGTGCTATTTTCATGGTGCTGTGTTGATAGCTGAAAAATTCTGCCTCCATAGTGTCCAGACCAGTACAATAAATTTGAAATAGCCACCCTCTAACTTATCGCAGTAATTCTTAGAAAAAGAGATGAATTTTCATTAACTCAGTTTTTACTAACACCACTAACAGCTTTTGCAATCCACTTCCAACCTCGAATAAGAGACAAGAAACCACATAGAGAAGACTGGTGCCTAAGCTGCAATTAAGCCAACAACTTGGTCATGAAAGGTAGTATTGAGCTGAGAAGTCTGTGCTAAATTGTTCCACGCTTACGAAGCATAAAGATAGTCTGTTCCTTTGCAACGATTTCTTGCTCTAAATTCTTATTAGTTCAAAACAACAAAGAGAAAAGTGGCATCTAACACAGTGAAATAAGTTAGGAAAGGAACAACTCTTGAAAACTACAAAGGAAACTTCAACCATGAGAAGCTGGACTATCAAATCACTCTTGACAGACTGTTACAACATTGACTGTTGATTAATCTATATTTGCACTGTTTTTATTAGTAGTGACTAGCCAAGAAAGCCAGAAACTCTGTTTTAACAACAACAAAACAAGATTAATACTATGACCACGGATAAAGACTCACCATGCTGCAGTTACTGCTTGCTGAAATGCACTTTTTGTCATCACACCATTGGCATCCATTTGTATTAGCAGTACAGCTTGCACAGTCTGCATATCTATAACATCTGTCATCTGCAGCAGCTGTAATACAAATGGAAGGCAAAAAGAAATATCACGCTGAAGGAGAATATCACCACATTTTACTGGTTTTGAATGCCCTTTCTTAGAATATTTTCTCTCCCAACCGTCTAGAAAATCTGGCCATTAAAAAGCCGGGTCTGTAGGAAATCAATTGTATTCACTTAATATTATTCAACTAAAGAAGCAGTCACTGGTTTGCAACATACAGACTCATTTACTATAGTGCACAGGTTATCTATTTTTGCTCACTCCTGCAAAAAAAAGAAAAAAGAAAAAAAAAGGGAAAAAAAAAAAAGGAAAGATCTTATTCGGATGCAAGTTTCTGGAAAAAAAAAAAAAAAAGACATTAGATCACCATGTCGCCATGCAAGGCGGCAATAGTTAAAGAAGGTGAAGGTTGTTAACAACACATACAAATATTTTAGCTCTCTCTAAATTAATGTATATACTTTAAAAGTTATGGTGCTTTATCCTTTCTATATGAAAAATCTTTGTTGAAGAGGGTCACTTTAAACACGTAACACAAATCTTCACAACTTGGAGTATTTATATTATTGAAAGTAGTTTGGGACAAAATGTTTACTTCTATTAAATGGAGATTAAAAAAAAAAAAAAAAAGAAAAGAAAAGAAAAATCACCATGATCCCATATATGAGAATTTCTCCCATCTCCTAGATTGACTTCTCTTTTCAACTGCTAGGTAGTTTGGCTTTCTTGGTCCTGGGATAATTTTAAAGAGACTTCATTGCTAGGGATCACTTCCCATCCAAGAATTCTCTCTGAAAACCCACTGGAATTTGTGTTGTGTTTTAATTTCAACTGTCAGTAAATTCTTGCATGATTCCTTCAACCAGCACAACAACTGAGTCAGGTGGTGTAAAAGAATATCCAAACACTTGGCTTTTGACAGAACGTTACTACCACAATTGGAGAAATCCAGCAAAAGTGAAGTGGCTCATTCCAGTTATTTAAGGAGTTGGCAAACAACACAACTTCACAGTTGGAATTTTATACACCTTGCCTCTTCTACTTTGATCCCACTGCAGTAGACATATTTTAGAAGTTGCCCTGTTCTATTTCGCTTCAGTGCCTCTGTAGTTTGTTTTGTATTTCCCCCCTTTGTTTTTTTTAAGAAAAAAAAAAAAAAAGGTGCTATGCTTCAGCTCCTCTTATGAAGAACTGAAATTGTCTAGATTCCAGATCTCTAAACCTCATAAAACTGTACAAGAGCAGTTTTGAAGAAAAGTTTTACCCAAATAACACGGCTGTTTTGTAATCTACTGTTTCAACTTTTCAACTTTATATCGAGGCCAGAGACAAACCAGGAAAAATATAATAGAAAAGTCAATTATCTGGAAGTATTTATTAATAGTAGAGCTAATATTTTTTAAGCAGATACTAAAAGTAGACTTGCATTTTGTGCGTTTAACATAGAGCCAAAGTTTGGCTAGCAATTATATACTTTGCTGCATGGAAAGATCACAGAAATATGCAGCAGATATGTCGCAGTGCTGCATACTGTGCTCATGTAGAGTATAAGAACAGCACTTTTATAAGCAATCTATTTGTCACAAGTCAAAATATTTGGAATAGGTTGCAACTATTATTCATGATGACAAATTGCTGTTTCAATCAATACAGCTACCACAATGCCAAACAGAATTTCCCAAGACCGATTTTGACACAGTCCAGCCAAGTGCTTGTTCACTTCAAGGTTTCCAGCTGTGAATGGACTGTATTCTTCTACATGTATCAAAGAGTATTAATAATCTGCTGGAAGCAGTGATACCTCCCCACATACAGACATGACAGTGCTATACACCTGCAGTGCCAGAAACCATTTACAAAGTCCATCTGTGTTCTGACTAATATTAAGATTTTTTTCAGAATAATCTGAAAATTTTTATTTATTTACTCATTAACATCAAACAGGAAAAGATGGAGAAATAGAGAATTTAATCATTTATAGTATTTCAAAGCTCATCCTCCTGTCCTTCCAACTAAAGTCATTTTACATTTTGGCCCCACAATGAAGTGATTTCTTCTCCTTAAAACTCTCTCTGTTTTCTGTTCCCTAGCATCTTAAACACATGCTACAGAGAAGAATACTTCTCTATATTTAAAATTGAAGAAAATCAAGAATGTAATGATTTTAAAAATCAATCCATTAGCCACTTGCACCAGATATTGCCAGAAAAGAACTGTCTTATTAGTCCATTCCCTGATTCCACTTGTTTTTGCCTTCCCACTCCTCTATTCCATTGTAACATTTAATACTTTAAGATTAGAGTTTAATGGTAAAATATTAGTACATGATAATTTACGCACCTGCCTTTTTAGGACACTTTGCTTTAAGGATGTTATTAGCATGGGCAGCTTCCCAGGACTCACAATGTTTCTTGTTCCACAGACATCTTATCCCTGGACGAGCATTTTTACACAGCTCTTCATCTCTAAATGCTTCGCAGTTCGGAGGTTTGTACACAAGGATGTCATTCAAAAGAACACTTGAAAACCCTCCAAATACGTACATGGACCTGTTGGGGAAAAGCAAGTCAATATAGCTGTTATTGAAGCGATAGATAAACTTTCTTGAATTCTTTAGCTGTCTTCATATACAATAAAACATGTGTATTCATATTAAAATTATATTAAATACACACAGATAACAACATAAAAACATTCTTCAGTTGCCTGATCATGACTCCGGAGTGGTGCCATTTTTCAACATACTCCTCCATGCTGCAGGATTGTAAAAGCTATATTTATCTATATGCATTACAAAGTGACACAGAAAACGTCTGAAAGTGAGGAAGAAAGACTACCTAGGAAAAAAAATACTCATTTTTGGAACTAGGTAATGAGAACACATACAGTGTAGCTAAATGCAACTGAAATGCAACAGCAATTGGCGAGTGGATTATTTTTCCTGACAACAAAAACAGAAGACTACACTACAGACCTTCCCCTTATCTTTCTCTTCTCATTCACAGTCAAGAACAAAATCAGTTTAAAACATGTTAAGAAAGAACCTGTGTATTTTGTATATCATATATTCATAAAACAGAATGCTACAACTACCAGTAGCAAAACCTTTGGAGAATGTCTCATATTATATATTTTGTACATAGAAGCCTAGTAATAATACTATAAGTCCTGAAAAAAATACATATATACACATATGTATATATATGTATTTTCACCTTGAATCTAATTCACTGAAAATGACAGTTCTTGAATCATCAAGCATAGCTTAAATGTCTTAAGACTGCACAAAGTAGAATTTGTCAAAAAACTGGTTGCTGTTGGATCCTTTCATTGTAAGCCCATTTTTCTTAATGAAGTAATCTATTCATTGAAGATTTTTAAGCCCTGTGTAAACAGCTGCAACTTAGTGCCAATGTTTTTGTTTATATCTGTTATTTGTAGTATTATATACCATCTCCATTACTTTTTACTTATACAATATTCATATGTAGATGATGTAGGGGCCTGTATATGTTTAAATACTAATTAATAATGTAGAAGAGGTACAGAAATATGCACTGAGACACAGCCATTTATAGTACCATAGATGTCATCCATTAGGCTCTTTAGAAACCAGTAAACTCCATGCAAGAAACTTCTTGGGTTTTTTTTTTTTTTTTTTTTTTTTTTTTTTTTTTTTTAAATCCAGTTTCCGTTTTCTACACCTTTCACATGAAAAAAATGATGATTGATAGCCAACTTTATCTCTTGGTGGTAGGCATGGGAAGCAGAGTTCAGCCACCAAATCCAACAAACTCCATTTCCACTCTATAGTCTGTTTCCAGATTAAGTTTTACTGAACTCTCAAGTTTCATGAAAATATGACATTTTATAGTGGATAAGCAATATACTTAAGCTAATCTGATGCCAGCAGACTTTTTTCCTGTAAACTGTTGATAATTATTATCTTGAAAACCTTACTTTTCCCCATTATATAAATTTCAGTTAGATTTTTTTTTCAATTTCATGTTTGTAGAAAAACAATGAATTATATGTTACAAGAAGATTTTGGCCATTATATGAAAGTAAGGGGTAAAGAATTTCAAATTCACTGTAGGTCATAACACAAGGAAAAATATACTAAAAGGTTCATCATAAAAAGAAAAGCTTCTGAACACATTTCACAGCATGTCATATCGATGATTAGCTGTATTGATGATTTAAGACCTGCAAAAAGCTACTGCTAACCACTATTCTTGATGTTAATAAATTACATCTGTTGTATGTCATTTAGGCACACTTAACGGAGGTATAACTGTTCCCATTCTTTTTTCTTTTGGTTCAGAAAAATGGTCAGGAAAATTTAAAATATGCTTCATTTACCCATTACTGACAACAGCAGTGTGACCAAATCTGTTGACATCTCTATGCAGATTAGGTTTTGGTAAAATCTTCCATTCATCACAAGCTGAAAGACAAAAGGAAAGCACATGGGTTTGCTGAGCAGGTGCTCCAAGAAGCTGTTATCACTACAAGCTTTGGCTTTATCTCCTGCACTACCATGACATTTACCAAGCACAGAGGATGCCAGCAGAAGTATCCTGTTATTACAGTGCTCTCTGCATTCCCAACCTTCTTCAACTCCCATAACTTCTGCCATCATCCTAATCCTGTGATCAGTAACATAATCTTAACACTATTCACTCTCCCACTAGCTAAAGAATTTCAGTTCAAGCATATTTCATGGTACATCTGTGACAGCAAATTTATCTATCTTCATAACTCTCTTAAGATAAAATACATCCTTCAGCAGTGCCAGTAACCTGATTATTTTATTTTTGATACCTTGATATCACCAGTTATCTTCCTTCCACTAAGTTTTTGAGGTAAAGGTTTTATCAGGACTTCCACTTAATATTAAGCATTCCAGAATCTCTATTTTAGCAATTCTGTACGAGCATTTACACATGTGATTTTGACCCAGTTGCATTTTTCTGCCTTACTTAACTAAAATCTTAGATCTTAAGAACTGTTAAGTCCTTTTTCCACTAGTTCCCACTTGAGTTTTTTTGATTTGAAATAATCAAATCCCACAGGAGCAGACCTAGACAGCAATTAATGAAATTTTTGGCAGATCAGATAAAACAAAGTACTTTTCCAAAGAGCACCAATGTTTTTTTCGAATTTGCAATCTTAAGACGTTTCAAAGACAGAGGATCAGAAAGTCCAAGAAAAATTACATAAAATAATGGATTATAGGTGCTTAAATAGATACTAAAGGCAAAGATACCCTTTCCAACAGGCCCTGGAGTGGACAGGCTCATGTGCTTTTCCTGGGTCACTCCCAAGGCTGCCTTGTGAAGCCGACCACCTTTTCCCCCATTAAACAAGGTGCCCACAGTTTCCTCACTTGTATCCCAAGCTCTCACAGGCTGCTGATTTAGATTCATAATTTTTGACAGTCTTACCTTAACTAATCTCATTGGAAACCTGGTACAAAAAACCCAGCACATAGGAACGGTACCCTTTTTTTTGGTATTTATTTTTAGGTCTAAAAATCATAATGGATTTCACACACACACAAAGACATTTTGCAAAAATGAAGCATATCCTATATATTAGCAAAATGTAGTGAAACACAACATTTAATTTTTGTAGCATTTTCAGGAAATTGGAAAACAGGTTGTTGAGCGATTACTGGGCTGCACAATTTCAAGATGAATCACGTGAGCAATGTCCTGAATCAAAACACAACTTCTCTATATTTTAAACAATATTTATATATGAATTGATTTATGCAAAACTAAATACTGTATACATTTTCATTAAAAATAATCTCACATTTCAAGTAAACTATCCTATAAGAAAGATGATTATAGTTATTTCTCATTTAAGACAATCCTGCTGTATAGACAAAGATAGGGATTAAAGTCAGTGTTAAAAAGGGGTTAAGGGTAGAGAGATACCTCCGGTGTAATCCAAATTAAAGGGTTATAAATGGCCTTTTTCTTTCCTTTTTAGGCCTTTTATGATCACCTTGTCCTTCTGCATATTCTGAATGAACACTTACTTGCTACTTTAAAACAGTTTGCAGCAGGAGTAACAACACAGCACTTTTTATTCCAGTGCATGGTGGCAAATCAATTACGACACAATAAAAATGACCTATTTGCTCAACATTTTCTCCATAATTCACAGAAGCAAATGGAGTATCTGCCCATAGAAGCTGTGCAGCTACACAGAGTTAGCACTGGAGGAAACAGAAGAGTCCTATAGAGATCAGCAGTCAGTCAGAAAAGGTTCCTGGCACAGAGCAAGATTCTGGGAAGCATCACTGAAACCTAATGTATTTACTACAGTTATTATTCAGCTTGATTTTTTACCGAGCTTTCTGCTGTTGCATTAATTTTAGCTATAAAGTTTAATAAGACTACATTTAAATCAGGTATATATTGCACATAACAACAACAAAGTGGGATAACATTCAGTATCAATCTGAATCTAAAGGAATATCACCAAAAGCAAGCAAAAAAAATTAGCTTGGAATAACAAAAATGGATAATAAAAAGGGACAAGCTGTACTTAAGGCTGCCATTACACAGAGTTTAAGTCAACTTAACCAGTGGCTGCTCTGATCCTGTTCTTGTTCCCACTGTCAGGACAGCCCATCTCCTTGACGGCTGCTGTTTTGGTACTTCCAGTATAGGAAATTATTCACAACAGCTTTTTATCTGCCTAGTTTCCAGTTAACATAGGTCAGAAAGGCCAAAACATGAGAAGGGGCAGTATACCACAGCCAGCAACAAAAATATATGGTAAAAAGCAGCTAGATTAACTTAGGCTTACAGAGAGCTACAGCCTGAGCACATAAAAAAAGGCCAGAGTGAGACTATGGCCATGACAGATAAACCAACTATATCTACTTATAAATAGGGAAAATATACAAAAAGCACATTATTACCAGAGTAACACAGATTGTTTAAATGGCAATAATTTCAACATTAGATGGCAACTCAGAATGAATTTACCATTTTGAAGAAAAAGAAACTATAGGAAATTTTTGTTAACTGCATAATAGGACTAATGCATTCCCAAATCCATCCACTTAGTCAAGTTTCTTCTGTCACTACCACTGTTAATATTATCATAATATTAATATATTACTAATACACTGCATCTCTGAAAAGCATTAAATGCTCCTTATTGCTTTACTCAATCAGAATAATGGAATAACAGAATGATGAATGCATCTGTGCTAAAGATGCTATTCTTGAAACAGTTTAAACAGAAGTCATCACAGTTTATTACTCACAATCATGAGTTTCAGGTAAAGGTGAGAATGACACTGAATATAAAAGTCAGGTATATTCCATATTCCAGTGCAACAGTGTCACAGTGTCACTGCCATTTGAATTATGCAAGAACTCCAGACTAAGATCAATATTAAATATTGGAACAAAAGCGACAAATAATCATGAATTCAGTTTCCAGTTCAGGAACATCTTTTCATTTAAAAGCTCTAAAAACACATTTTAACACTGCAGCTGATTGGCAAAAATCTTTCTGTTACACTGCAGAATCAAGTACTACCTGCTGTAAGTCACTATATGTACAGAAGCAGCACGGTTGGGATCTGATTCCACTGAGAGTAAATGAATTTAAACAAATTAACTTAAAAATGCAAACACTAAATTTTCATCTGAACTAGAAAGCACTACTTGCTATTTTTGGCTTTTGTACAAATATCTAAACAAACTTCCACAGTGTTTCCTTTACTTAGTGTACTAAATCAAAAAGTGGGATTTAACACCAAAGGAAAACCACAAACCCATAATAAAAGCTGGTATTAAGATAAGAAATGCCTGAGGGCTGGAGATATAATAATTCCTACCTTGCTGATGATATTTGTCAAACTGGCAAGTGTTTTCAAGACAGTACAAGAGGAAAAGGAAGAGGGACGCATGTTACCAACAGCCTCCCCTGTTATCTCTCCTCAGCCTTCTCAGTGACTATTGAACTGAATAGAGTATTGTGCAGAGGAAAAGAAACCCTTTCGCCAAGCTTTAAATCCTGATCGGAGTTTCTCTGCATAGGCTGGTTAATACGAAATGCAGATAGTTAACAGACTTTTTTTTCTGTTTGGTAAGGAATCAGATGGCGCTCATTCATACATATCATCTTGAAACTTCTTTTGAACATAGCAAGGTTGCTAAATTTCTAGATTTACTGAATAAAAAAAAGTCATAAATAACGTGCGGCATGATTTTCGACACTGTTTATCAATATAACAGCCTTCTGTGCATTATCTGTGTTGCATTAAGTCTAGTTAAAATGGTAAGACCCATAGCATAAAGAACAAAACAGTTTCCTCTGTAAAATATCATGGTATTACATAGCTGGGAGGTAAGAGATACAGTATTAGTTATATTTTCTGTTAGCTCCATATGTAAACTGGTGCAAACTTTTTTTCCTTTCTTAAGAGAAAGAGCTATCAAGCAGATATCATCAAGCAAGAGTGATATCACTGATTTCAGATTGATTAGCTCATATTTTAGTGAATGAAAAGTACAAGAAGGGATAGAGGGACTTTTCCTCCCTGTTGATAAGAACAAATATCACTATAGGATACTCATACTCCTCCCCAGTGTAGATGAAAAAGGTACAGTGTGGTAAACTGTGGCTAAAACACTTTACTTCTGACTGGTTCTGTATTTTACGACCTGAAAAACTAAACACCATAAACAACCAAACACGAGGAATATTTGCTACAAGTAGAAAACTTATTTTCTAATTCATTCAACACTGAGTAAAAATTTTTATTTGTTCAGGTAATAAAAACTGTCTTTCAGCAAAATGTAAAGTCAAAGCCGTTGGAAATGGCATGGATTGAGTTTTAAACTTTAACTGTAGATTTAACAACAACAGACATTCTATATGCATAACTCTCCAAGCGATATTAAAAAAAAATAAAAAAAAAAAACCTTGAGCTTAACTATTAAATGATGTAATTAGTGCTTTACATTATTCTGGCTTTTCTCTTCTAATGCTACAATAATAAAGAGATAATTGCTATTAGAGACTGTGCCAGAACAACATTTACAGCTTAGATGCTCAGGAACACCTAAAATTTAATTCCTCACAACCTCTGTTTTACATTTTCTGAGTGATAGCACACTGATAATCCACTTGTAATTCTAAAAGAAGAGAGAGCTAGAAAAATATTTTCTTGTATCAAATCTATTTTACAAACCCATTTAAATTTACTAGTTTTGTTGATGGAAAAGACTAGGTTTAATACATTTTATTTTACAGAACAATTATTATAAATGAGCCATTTATTTTCTTACAAAATACAAGCAATATGTTTGATCATAAGTGAAACCACCATTAGCCTCAGGAGTAGATTTTTTTTCCAGACAAGAAAAAAGTTGTTAATATTCATTTACACAGCATGGGAGAACCTCAGTGCTCAACAATGACTATGGTCTTTTCTAAGCAACTGAGTTTACATCTTCTTTAAACAATAAGAAGCTGTCAGCAGAAATCCAATACGTAACAAGACTTGAAGGAGAAGGGTTTCAGAGCACTAAAGCTGGGATGCAGCATCCCGCTTTTCTCCCCAGACCCACAGGAGGGGACAGACAGTGACTGACAGAGCTC